GTTAGGGTTAGTGTCTACAGTATCCATAGCATGGTATTTGTACAGGGTGTTCCCAAAATCTCAGTGCAGTCACCAGAGTGACTTTTTTATGTTTCTCTTTTTGAAATTAAAAAAAAATTTCCAATTGCATGTAAAAAATCTTAAACATTCATTTTAAAAAATTGGGTTCCAAATTCCCTCCTTCCTCCTCCCCCCCCTTCCCCCGCTTCACTGAGCAGGAAAGCAATTTGATACAGGTTCACCAGGGTGACTTTTGGGACACCCCATGTATATACATGTTTCCATTTGTGGTGGCAAACTGGTGTGGCTGGAATGAGTGCTCCTGTGGTCAAAGTCTGTTGTTGTACACAAAATAGTTTGATGATAAATCACACTTTTCACATTCCATCCTGATGCTCTGGGCTCATATAGGTGTTTTTATTCTAATGTCAACTCCTTCAATCCTTTGACTGTTTCCTAAACCCTGATTCTTCTTCAGAAGGAACAGCTAGGTGAATGAAGAGGTAACAGAAACTTCTTCCATATTCTGGATACCTCTATGATATAAAGGTTTTTCCTTTCTGATTTAGGGGAGACAGAAAGAGAAAGAAGAGTGACCCCATCGGAAGAAATGTTAAGCAGAAATAAAAAGCCAGAGTCTTTAGATGTCTTTGTAGGTGTGGGGTTTGGGGAAGAGCAGGCAATCAGGAAGGGTGGTAATTACTATGTTACTATTTCCCCTGGGTGTTGTGAGAATTCTTTCTGAACTGCTCGTAAAACAGGGAGAGAGAAGACAGTAAATACACATCTAATGATGTGCTAAATAAATTATTATTGTTATTATTATGACTATTATTATAGTAACTGCAACTTGTTCTCTTTCAAGTTACCAAGGAAGAAAGGAATCATTTCCCTCCTAGTCAGGTCTAATCTGCCACAATTACAGTCAATCAGTGAATCAACAAACATTTTCGGGTGCCTATTATGTACCAGGACAGCGCTAAATACTGGCGATCAAAAGATGATATGGAACAGTCCCTGCCCTCAAGGAGTCTGCACTCTAATAGAGGAGACAACATGTGTCTTGTGTACATGTGTATATGTATGTTTCTATACACGTTATGTGTGTGCATGTATACACACATACATATATATATACACATATATGTGTCCCAAAAGTCTTCGTGCTGTTTTAAGCTTTAGTAACTTAAAACTGCACTAAGACCTTTATGACATCATATATGTATACATAGTGTCATATATTAAAAATATACACCAAAGTATACAAAACAATAACATGACTACAAAGAATTTGGGAGCAATCAGGAAATCGTGAAGACTAGGGTTTCCCAGTCCTTTTTGGTCCCCATACCTCTTGGCTTTTTATCCCCTATTCAGTATGAAAGGAAATAAATTTTAGTGTTCGCCATGAACATGCACATGATAGCAAAATAACTTCATTACTTTTTTCATAAAGAACATTTTATTTGAAGCATAAACATATTTTAAAAATAAAGTTCAATGTTTATCAGAACACAATCACATAAATTAGTGAGACCCTTGGTTCTGTTTCTCATCAACCAACAATTTGATTCTTGGTATAGTTTTTGAAAAAGCCCCCCACATCTCATGTTCTGGCTTCCAGTATTTTTCTGGCTTTGGATCTGATTGAGAATCTCAAAGCACAATGATCAGTTTGTTATAATAGAATTAAAACCCAGTGATCATGTTTAGCGAGAATGGGATCCAAACCTCCAAGGATACACAAAAAATTTTGTAATGTCATTGATTGGAAATCAATTCAGAGTTATTTTGGAGATAATTAACCTGTCTTCCACTAGGTCACTGTTGTTGGTTTTTTCCTAGTTCTATATGAAAAGGCATTTGTATCCAAACCTCATTCATTTGGTTTTAGACAGTAGGAATTATTCCTTCAACTGTCACTTTCATATTTTTCAGAAGTGCTATAATTCTCCCTCCCTTTTCCATCTCAGCCCTCCCTCATCAGTCTCAGCTCTACAATTTATATTTTATTTTTTTCATTAATACTACTTTGGGAATATTTCTATAGGATATTATAACTATTTATTCCCTGAACCCTGCTTGACAAGGTTCTTGTATCCATTGTATGCTACAAGATCTCTCACACCCCAGATTGAAAGCCCATGGTGCTTGAGTTCAGTCTTGAAGAAAACCAGAGATTCTAAGAGGTGGAGGTAAAGAAGGAGTGAATTCCGTGCATGGAATATGTACAGCCAATGCCAAGGCAAGGGGATGGGATATTGATCATGGTATGTGAAGAACAGTAAATGAGGTGGTATGGCGAAATTGTAGAGTTCATGGAGGAGAACAATTTGTAAAAGAATTGGAAAGGTAGGAAGGGGCCAGGTTGTGAAGTTTTTTAAATGACTGCAGTTTATATTTGATCCTAGAGATAATAGGGAATGACTGAAGATTAATGAATGGGGATGTGTGTGTGTGTGCGCGCGCACACGCGTGTGTGTGTGTGTGTGTGTGTGTGTGTGTGTGTGTGTGTGTGTGTGTGTGTGTGATATGGGCAAACCTGTGCTTTAGGAAAACCACAATTCTTGAGGAATCTGGTCATTGGGCAATGTAAATCAGGCATCAGAAAGTGGTCAGTACACTGATTCCTGGGGCAACTATTCTGGGTTGCAGTTGCTACTTCTCCCTCTTGTGATCCCCCTCTTCCTTCCCCACCCCATTCCCCAGAGACAAGCTGCTTGGTACAACTTCTGATATGGGCCTTGTCTTTCTTTTTACTGAGGTGAAACTTTTTGACTAAACCTTGTGATCATCTGAAAGGAGGCCATAAAACTCTATCTGGAGATGTTTAGGCCGAAGGTAGGACTACTCTGGGTCAGAGAGAGGAGACAAGGACCAAGTATTCTCCGATGCCTAATCCCGTAATTTGCTTCATGTTTTCCTAGATGCATCATCCTTCAAAAAAGGCATTTTTGAATGATAATTTTTTAAGAAGACCTTTTCCCTCCCAGGCTTACTAAGAGATACCAGAATGGTGGTAGGGCCCCCCGACACCTGTTGGCTCCTTTCCAGTTTGGAGTTATACAAATGAGCAAACACCCCCATTCTGCATTTCCTTAGGGAAAACAGTCTGGGCTTGCAGAGGGTCCTGCACATTTGCCTAACAACCCAGTCTGGGGTAGGCTTCTCCCCACTCTCAGTTTTGCATTAGCATTGTTCCATCTCTTTCCGAAGACAAATTGAGGTGAGAAGGGTCCTTGTAAGAGTCTCTCACAAAAAAGGCCAAGGTATGCCTTCACTGGCCACCTCGGCCAGACCCTACTTCATTCCCAAATCAATGGAGAGTGATCGTAACATCTCTTAACCTGCCTCCCCCCACTCCCCAATCTCCAGGCTCCTGCTCTCCAGGGTCAGGGCGCCAAGGTGTCTGGGGATGGTACAAGCTCTGTCTACGGGATGCCAAAACAACCCTGTTGGAGCTGGAAGGAGATGGGAGCAGGGAATAAGTCCTTTATCAGGCATCGAATAATGCTGGCGTTTGACTTTTCTTATATCTCCCCTCCCCCAAAAAATATATGTATATATTAAAACGCAAGAAAATTAGCATTTAAAAAAAACCCAGATTTCGGTTCAGTGAGCCGTTGAGGACAGGGTCTCCAGCTGGCTGTGGGTGATTTCCTGGAGAATCTGTGTTGCACGCACCAGAGATACTGGCAGTTATCAATTCAGCGTTAGTCCCCCAGGCCCTAGAAGGTCGATTGCCGAGAAGGGCTTGGCGGGAGAAGGGAAAGAGTGTTCTCGAGTCTGTTTTCCTTCGGCAGAAACCCCACCACCTGCTTTCTCTATGGTGATCTGGCACTAAGTCTGGGTTCAGGAGGGGAGGGGTCTTGGAAAGGCACTGGGGCAGCAGTGCTGGCTTCTCCCTTCTTCGCTAACCGATGAACTTCCCTCCTCTTTTGCCCCGGCATCGTCCGGAGTCTATACTAAAGTCTCCCATTCTTACGACCGGATCTTCACGTTTTGAGAATTGTTAACAAAAAGTCGTATCAAGTCGGAGCAGGCCAATATTGTTGCCTGGTTTCATCAAAGTGCTTTGGAATTCAGGTGGTAGGTGTCCCTACCACCCAGCATCCCAACCTTCTCTTTTTGTGCCTTATTACAGCAACAGCCTTGATTTTGGCACCTCCCTGTGTCAGGGAATCTATGATCCCCTTAGCCCCATTTTCTAGCCTGCTTCTCAAAGTTTGTAGGAGCTGTAGCTGGAAAATGGAGGTCTGGGCCTACTTGAAACTCACCTTGGGTTCAGCCCACGTCTGTACCACCGAGTCATATATGCACTTCAAGGCTGGGGCAGGGGACAGGGAAACATTTTATTCTGGGGATAAAGAGGAAATTCTCCAGAAAAGTGAAAAGGCCAGAATGATCACCTACCCAAGAAGAAGACAAGAGGGAAGTTTAGTGGAGATAGGAGGTGAGGGACTGTAGCACAGGGAGTATAGACGCTCCCCGCTGGTGAGAGGAAAACTGTCTAGGCAAATAGCTTAGGGGATGAGGCCTGCGGCTGAAGACTGTTTATGAGGCGAGAGGGTGACTGATTTTCTCATCCCCCATCCCAGATGCTAACTCAGGCCCCGGTTGGCCCTCTTAGCCGCCACAGCGGGGGAGAAACTGGGAGAAAGATACAGTGTTCTGGGTCCGAACAAAATGAAGCATCCTGTAAGGCAGAGGTCGCTCAGGGAGAGAGGGTCCGATCTGCAGGAGCTTACTGTGTACCCGCCGAACCCCCGGGAGGGCCCATCATTAGAGTCGCATTAATCGGTGAGCAGTTTAATTCAGATTTTCCCCAATACCCCAGGGCGATTCGCCTAATACCCCCTTGCCTCAGTCCCAGCTTTGCCTCCTGAGTCAGGCTGTCAGGAATACGCAGAAGCTTTCAAACTTTTTCTTTTCTCCTTCTTCTTCTTCTTCTTCTTCTTCTCTTCTTCTTCTTCTTCTTCTTCTTCTTCTTCTTCTTCTTCTTCTTCTTCTTCTTCTTCTTCTTCTTCTTTTCTTTCTGGAGATTTCATTTTGTTCTTCTGGTTACCAAGAGGCAGAGACCGCAGATGCCACCCCTGTCTTCTCCGTTACCAGTCCCTGCCCAAACATCGTTGTTTGTCTTCCTTCACTGGATCCCGAGATAGAAACTAAAGTTAGGCAGAGTGCTCCCTAGTCCTATTTACTGCAGTCCTCTTTCCTCTCTTTAAATACTGCCAGGGAGAGAAACCTGCCTCGGGACTCACTCTCTACCTCAACCCGCAACTCAACACTTTTCTCTCTCTAAGCACTTCTAGAGTCAGCCTCGCTAACATACTGCTCCTTTTACTTGCTTTTCTAACGACTCCTAAAGTGATAGCTGCCTCACTACACCACTTTATTTAGCCCCTGTGTAACTACACATATCCCCATGTAAATAGATCTGGTAGCTGTCGTCCTAGCAAGGAAGAACATCCTTCCAGAGTCAGCCATCTAGAAATAGCCTCGTGTACAAATCTCTTTCTGTCGCTAAGTATAAATATGCCTCTATAGAGATATATACTAAGGCTGTGCCATAGTCACCCATCACTACATAATTATAACCTTATATACATATAGATATCTCTATAGAGTTATAGATGCCAGCCACTGCCTATAACTCTAGAGAGAGATAACAGTGTGTGCATATAGGACTACCAATACTTATCCATATTTTTGTAACTATGTAGTTATAAATAGATATGACTATATATAGTTGCAATTGTATAGAACTATGTTCATAACCTTATATGGCTGGAGCCATATTCTGGAACTCCTGTATATCACTACTAGTAAACATATATCTCTCTGTGCATAATTCTAACTATATACATTTATCTTTATTGCTCTACAAAGATATAAATCTGTCAATGCATCAAATGTCTATATAGGAATGGCTATAGATAGAGCTATATATTTCTTTCCATATAAATATCTGGGGCTATAACTAGACAGTATATGGACAGATAAAAGTACACAGATATAATTATATATTTTTTCCGGGCATAAATCTGTAGATATAACCACATCCTATTTAGGTATGTTTAGAGATGTAACAGTCTTTTCCAGATATCAGTCTGTCAATATAAACAACTACAGTCTCTCCTTATAGAAATAGTTATAGGCATAGCTATAAATTTATTTCCCCGATCTAAATTTTTCGGGATAGATGCAAACATAGATTTAAAGATGTGAACTGCACATATTTCCCCAGATGTCAATTTATGCATAACATCCATGTCTGGTTGGTGTAGATAGACATAGATATAACATACATTTCTTGCAGAGAAGGGTTGACGCTGGCTGCTGCATTCCTTGTGAACAAAAGCAAAGCCCGCCCACGCGGGGGAAAGTTTCTGCTCCTCAGTGTCCTAATCTGTAGTACTCCCCGTTCTTCCAGTTCCACACTGGGAAGGATGATTGAGGGGAATAGTCCAGAACTTTAAAAAAAAAAAGGCTGAAAAATGTAATTTCATTTATTGCCTTTTTTTTAAGAGAAAAGGAGAAACAAAACCCCGAGATAAGTCTCTCTGGAGCCCTTGTCCCGCTTAGAAAGACAAAGAGCAGCAGCGGCAAGGTATGGATGCTTAGCGGTTATTATTTTAAGAAGGCCCAGGCCGAGTCTTGACTACTCTTTCCCAGTCGCTCTCCTCGGCGCTTTTTACGTGCCTAACCGAGCTTTGCCTTTGGTATCGGCCTCAGCCTCCAGCCCGCGCCAGCCACGCTGCGGAGGAGAGCTGCCGCCGAATCTGCTGGGGCTTTGAACCACCACTCAAAGCTAGCTAGCTCACCACTTTGACTTTTTTCCTTTTAAAATTTATTGTTAATATGTCCTTTTGTTTGCTACTGCATATTTTTCCTACTAATTTTTTTCCCTCCCGTATAAGAGGACTGTCGGGTTTTTCTTTCGATTAAAAAAAATTCTTGCTTTTGATTTTAAAACAAGTGGGGAAATGTGAACTGTTAGTCCAAACCAATCGCCGGAAATTTAAAAAGAACTTTTATTTATTAAGAGGCTTCGGGTTTCAATCATTTTAAGTCTCTTTATTTATGATCGATTTTATTTTTCCCAAAGTAATTTTTGAATGCTGGAGGATTTATATTTTTCTAGTTTATTTGTCATTGTTGTTATTTATTTTTTATTTATTTTTGTGTGTATGTAAGTGTATTTTAAAGAGGTGTTCGGTGTGCTCGAAATATTAGGGTATCCTCATACCACAATTCTGTTCTGATAACCAAATCTCTCCGGTTGCCTCCAGCCCCCTCCCCTCCCCAGCCGGGGGGAAAAAAAGGATTCTAGGAGAATTGTACCTGAAGAATACGAGGGGTATGTTGGGATTATCCGGGGAGAAATGATCTTTTCTTCTTTAATGAAGTAGGCTCGGCTTCTGCACACACTGTAGAAAAATAGACAACACGTTCCGGCTTTTCCAAACAGTCATGCAAAGGGTTAAGTTTGTCTGATCCCAGTCAGAGTGCCCCAGGCCCCCCACTGTCCAGGCTTCTTAAAGATTTCTCTGCCTCCCTTGGACCAGCAGCACTCGCTCCAGGGGAGTGCCAGGGGAGAGAGAGAGTATGAGAACAAGGACTAAAAACTCACTCCACCTCCACTGTCCAGCTCCAAGTCCTCCCCATTTCTTCCTGCCCCCCCCTTAAGCTTCAAATACTGCTTTCCTTTCATTTTGGTCTGTCATTCAAGAAAAGGGACTTATGGCATTAGTTTGCCTAATACCCCCTATAGCTCTCTGCCTCTGTTTCTCCAACATTTACAATCTCTATCTTAATGTCTCGTCCCAAAACAATCCCAAAGAGAGGGAACAATCTCTAACTTTACCCTAACCCCATGTCCAGATGTCAAACCAGGGATAAGGGCGTTAATTTTCAATCTCCTCTATCCAAAAGTACTTAAAGAAACTTTCTTCCTCTGTTTCCTTTTCTTCTTTCCCATGCTATATCTCCCCTCTCCTCTTTTCCTTACAGATCTCCTGTTTTTATCATTGATTGTTATTCTGCTGAAGAGAAATTGTTAACTCTTGTTATTGTTACTTGTTATTAAAAAAAAAAAGGCTTGTTTGCCCAGGGTCAGGGGCTGGCAGTTTGACACTGGAAGGTGGCCCTAGACACATGGGCAAATCCTACTGTGCAAAGCACAAACACAAATGTATATTGTAAATGCTTATCTACACAGACACATACACACAATCCTCTCCCTCCCTTTGCAAGTAATTCCCACCCCCACTCTCTCGAACCACAGAATCCCCCTTCCCCTTAACCAATCTGCACCAATACACACCCATGACCACAGGCCCCAACACCAATACACAGCCACGGAGAGATGTGAAAGCAGGCCTAACCACATATCTAAGTAAAGAAAAATAGATAAGAACCGAATTTGCAGATCTATTCTCTCTTTCACAACCTGGAGGGACGAGTGAGGCCTCTGTCTCTCTCTCTCTCCCTGTCTCTCTCCCTCTTTTTTTCTCCTTGTTTACAGATTCAGAGAAGCCCAAGGCCCATAAATCTTAAGGGGCCTATGGAGAGCAAAGCACATTTGTATGCATCGTTAGAAGTCTCTAATACCTAAACCCATTAACGAGCGTGTATGCTCGCGGTTTCCGGTGTGTATTAACTTAGAGTTAAATTCTGGAGGAAAGGGCATTGTGTGAATTAACATGAGCCAAATCCATCACAGGCTTTGTCATATCAGATTAGTCAACCGTGGATTTGTGGTTCCGTGTGTGCATGTGTGTATACGTATGTACACATCCTCTAAAGTTTTCTTTTGGAAGGAGGGTCTCAGAACAAATCAAGTCCTCCAAGCCTCAAACCCAGATAATTCCAAAAAGCCAGGCTGAAGTGGCTGTGGAGGAAGGGGAGAATCCACAGTGTGTGTGTGGGTTGTGTGTTGGGTGCATGTGTGTGTGTGTGTGTGTGTGTGTGTGTGTGCGCGTGTGTGTATAATGGAGTGTAGAGAAGAACCCTAGATCTTAGGTCACAATGGCCCAGTTGCCTTTGCCAAGAAGGCTTTGGGGTGTGGTGAGAGGAGGCTGCCAAAAGCTGTTGTGTGGTTATTATGGTTGTGATGAGGCAGCGTTGTGATTTTTGTTTTGGAGAGAGAGAGAGAGAGAGAGAGAGAGAGAGAGAGAGAGAGAGAGAGAGAGAGAGAGAGAGAGAGAGAGAGAGAGAGGACAAGTAGAGTCCCTGAACTTTAATTACACAGAGAAAGGCGATTGGGGGGAGGGGAGGGAAAAAAAGGAGTTTGCTGGAAGGAGGTAGGAGAGGGAAAAGGGATGGGGGAGGGAAGGCCAGGCATAAAGCTGCCTAGTTCTAGCGCTTCTCTCCTTGGAGTCCAGCGGTTGGACCCGGTGAAGGAGAGAGGGAAAGATACCAGGGCTCTCCAGAATTTCCATCCCCTTATTCTCCATCTCTGCGCTCCCCCCCACCCCACTCTTGCCAACCTCCCGCCAAAGTGGAACATGGAGACAATTATTTGAATAATTCCAGCCTAAGTTTTTTTTTTTTGAGCCTTTCCATCAATTATCGGGAGCCTTTGAGCCCGGTGGACACGACCCCAGCTGGGGTCTGAAGGATCCCTGTAATCGAGGCCGTGTAGATCTAACTGAATGCAGGCAGTACAGGCGAGGCGGGGGGAGAAAGAGTGGCAGAATGGACAGAGACACCCTGGGGTCCTCATAGAAGAAGCCGAATGCAATTTTGAAAGTAGGCCGCGTGTGAATAAACTGGATGTTTGACTCTGGGCTCTATGAATGCAGCAACACGAAGGTGGCGTAGTTGGGGAGGAATGCAGAAGATCCCCCTTCCTCGCCCTCCACTGTGGTGCAAAGGGGGCCTCAGCCAGAGCTACTAACTCAGTGGCTGCTCCCGGCTGCAGAGTGGAGAGAGGGGAGTGCCAAGGGGGGGAGGGGGAGGGGAAGGGGAAGGGGAAGGGAGGCGGGCGGGGAGGGGGGGAGCCCAGGGCCGTCCCTGGGTGCTGTGAACTTTAGTTGGAGCCGGCCGCTTGTCAGCCCCAGAAAGCGTTAAAGGTGCAGCAGCCCGCGCCAGCATCCACAACCGCCTTTGTAAGGGTGATTTATGACTTCAATCTTGGTTCACCGAGAGTTCACATGGATTTCGCTGCTGTTGAAGGTTAAAAGATGGTCTTCCCTTGACAAGTGGGACTATTGAAAATTCCTTCTTCTCTCTCTCTCCCTCTCCTTTTTTTTTTTAAGAGACGAATTGGAGCTCAGAGGAGGAAAATTGGGGAGGGTGGGATAGGAGGAGATGAGAAAGGGTCAGGAAGATTTCTCCCCCAAATGTAGAATTGGTCTGGCTGAGAGGGGAGAAGGGGAAGAAGGGGGAGGAGCTTTAAAAGTCTCATATTCAGAGGCCCAAATAGTTGCATTTTAAAAACAGACCATTTTTAAAGCAGCCAATTATCCAGATAACTTGGGCCATAAGTAAGTGTATGTGTAGGGGCAGGATGGGGTGGGGGTGGGGGTGGGGAAGAATTTGGAGTAGAAATTTAAGGGTAAGGAAAGAACTGGGCAATTCCAGTAGGCTTTCTATATTGATGCTGTTTTTTGTAGATCTACTCTGCTCTCCACTTGCACGTGTAGATGCTTATCAAATGTTTTGAAGGGTGTGGGCAGCAAGGGGGAAGAGATTTTTAAGCCCAAATGATCATAGTGTTTTATCCATGTAGACCAAGTAGCTTCAGATCTGTAAGCAGAGACAGTGAAGAGTTGGAAGATGAGATTTACTAAATGGGGCTAAAGGAAAGTGCAAGAACCAATTCTACCTGGTCTACATAATCTACACAGCCTCATGCTTACTCATCTCTGAACTCCATCTGGATGCAGCACCCCTCCTGGGGCAGGGAAGACTCAACAATAGTTGGATTTCAGTAGTCATGCCTCCAAATCCTTTTCCCTGCAGACCTAGAAGGCTTGTGGCAGCATTGGGCCTAGAGTCAGGAAGACCTGGGTTCAAATCCAGCCTCAAACAACTGGACACGTCATTTAACTTGTTTGCCTCAGTTTCCTTATCTGTAAAATGGGAATAATAATAGCATCTATGCTCCTAAGGTTGTTGTGAGAATCAAATGAGACAATATTTTAATAGCACAATTATTATGGTGTATAGCACATAGTAAGTTACTATGTCAGCTGTTATTATTATTAGCTATTAAATGAGATAATATTTGTAAAGTTCCAGGCATAAGTTCTATATAAATCCTAACTGTCATTACTCTATTACTTCCCTGAACACTACCAAGGGGAGATCATTCAGGGGATTTAGGGAAATGCCAACCCAGCCTATCCTGTTTTCTAACCGGGAAGGAGAAAGGAATTTAACATTTAAATGATATGTAAATGAGAAGAAAGCAGATGGGAAGGCAGCAGAGTTTGAATTGGATGTCCTATTCAATCCCAGGCCCCTTTGGCCCATTCCTTCTCCAATGCTATGTCCTCCTTTCCCTGCCTAGTGATTTGGATAACATAGAGGTTAGGGTACAGGGAGTGGAGGGGATGGAGTCATTTTATAGCTGCTCTGAAAATAAGCTTTTATTGACTTTTTAGAATTTAGGGAACCAAGAGGAAGAAGACTATTGCCTTCTCTTTTTTAGATTCCCAGTGAGTGCTGGATTTGTAAGGTCTCATTTGGTTTTGATCCTCTGTGGTGGCTTTCCTAAAACTTCCCCCAACCCTCCTTTGGCTAAAGAAAGAGGCTGAGTTAGCTAGCAAAGAGAGTGAAAAAAGAGAAAGACAGGGAGTGATAAAGACACAGATAAGAAGAGAGAAAAAGATAGAGACTGGCTGGTATGTATTGGGGTGAGGCAGTATTTGAGAACTGACTGTGAGGTAAGGCTTGTTTCAGAAATTTTCAAAGCAAACACAACTCCAAGAAGGGGTCAGAATGCCCAGCCAGCACCAACAGTATGGCATTAGTCTCCCCTTGGGATGAGGGGGAAAGTTGATCCTTGGACCTTTCTGGATCTCAGTGATTTTTTTTTTCTGTAGGCCGTTTCTAGAGAAAACATTCATTCTCCAAAGCTATATTTTAGGTCCAATGGGAATGGAAGACTATCAGATTTGACCAGGGAGGGGGTATCATATGAGGTTACAAATTGCTATATGAATGCAAGTTATTACAAAGAAAAGAAATCTGATATAGAGAAAGAACACTAGACATGAATTCAGGAGAAACCTGGGTTTGAATCTTGACTGATAATATGTTGTTACTGTCATGTTCAACTCTTCAACCCATCAGGTTTTCCATGCTAATATTTAACAGAGTACTAGTAATTCCCAGGAGCTTCTAGTATAAAAAACACTTTTTATACTCAACTCCTGGGGAAACATTGGGTGACAACTCTGCTTCCCATAGGAAGAGGGAAACAAATAATCTCAGCAAAGGTCATAAAGTGAGGCAAAAACGAAACCCAGGCAATCATCGTTCTTAGTATAAAATGGCAACTACTTCCCACCCCAGGCTAACATAACCCTAACTCTGTCTTTTTGTCCCAAGCTGTATACCTAGCTAGGCCTCTCTGCCCATTACCTTTACACACATACACTGCTTCCCCCATCCCTTGGGGATTGCCAGCATCAAGGAATATTCTACTCTGGGAAGGCTGGGGGGTGGAGAAGTGGGGGCAATGGGATCTACCAGTTGTTGCACATCTGTAAAGGCCTGGAAGTGGAGAAAATTGCTCCAGTCCCATTAGATCATTTCCACTGAAAATATCTCACAGCAGCCAAACACCCCCAGGGCACAGCCTGTTCTCATGCCCTCCCCCCATCTCCTTCCCTTTCCATAGAGACCAACGCAGAACACAGAGAAAGAGATAGAAAAGAGGAAGCAACAGAAACAGACACCAAGGAATAGAGCTGGATATTTGTAAAGAAAAACTAGAGACCTAGACCTAGACCTAGAAAACGAGAGATCCAGAGAGATACCTAAAGACAGAGACATCGACAAAGTTTCCCCACCCCTATTGTTCCCCATTTCTCTTTCTGAGCATTGATAATGAAAGTCTGTCTCCTAGAGTCAGGGGGCTGCCCCGGATGACTTTCCAGGCCTTGAACCTCACCATCTCCTGCTTGCCCATTTCTTGCCCCAACCCTCCCCCACCCCTTCCTCTTTTTCTAACTCTACTATGGCACTGGGGCAGGAGACAGCCATATCCCCTATATTCCTAATCTTAAACCTGCATCTCTTTTTCCCCCCTACCTCTCAGCCATTCTTGGTCTCTCCAGGGCTGGGGCCTGCTACACATGATCAGGCCCAAGTGTCTGACTGATGTTAGCAAGTATATTTTATTTTATAATTTGCCAGGCTAAATAGAGACCTTGGGTGAAAAAAAAAAGGGGAAAAAAACCCCACTGTGCTGGGAGTTTCCCCCCTGCTTCCCGGACACTGGCTTTCTCAATGAAACAGTGTGCTGTTGTTCTTAGAAAAACCATTCCCCCACCATCTCAGTTCGGAGGGTTTGAGTTTCACCGTCCGTTCACCCCCATTAATCACCCCAGCAGCTTAAACATCACCCAGCCCCTCT